ACCTCATTTTTTTGGGTTATCATTTTGGTTATTTAGTGCTGCAATTACCACTAATTTGTTCATTGGTTAAGTACCATGGTGTTGTTTTCACATATTATTCAGGAATTGAGAAGGAATGCTGAGCATGAAACTTATGTTCTAAATAAAGAACTCGAAAGCACAACAACAATCAGTACCTCATCTAGTGTAAACCAAGCTGGGGCTAAAGACCACTCAACTTTCTTTTCCTCTCCATTTATGGCTTTAGATCAAAAGTTGTATCCCAAATTCCATCACCATGCTAATGTCGGTGAAAAAAAACATCAAGAACCTTCCTCAATTACCCAAGTCAAAACCAAATGCAACCAAGAAATATGACAGCAGATACAGACCAACTAGGTTTTCAGGTTTTCTTCCACTATAGAATTTAGAAACTCAAAACGGGAAGAACATTTACTCTTTGAAATTGATAATTAGGCAATCTGAGATTATGTAAACAAAGAATTAATATTTCAATTTTATCATTTGATGTATTCTGAAAGTTCCTCTACATATTCTTTTGCCTCTTGGTGGGACCTGATTTGTCAACCCATTCTCCCAACATTTCGATCCTTCTGTTTCAATATGCATCAACATAAGTTGCATGCTTTCCAAAATTGTTTGGCTTGTAAATGAACTTTACTATGTGTATTATACATTTTTTAGGCAGAATATTATGCACACTATTTGTTGGGAATGGAACGAGGGAGCCCAAAACCCTTTGCAAATGGTACATCCACCAATGAGCCAAATGACAAACTATAATAAGTGGGCCGACACCACATCTCAACCCAAAACCTTAAGGTTGTAGGTTTACGAGTCTTTCACACTTATATGGTCATCACTTGGTCTATGTCTAGTCTATGTGGTACTTCTTTACAACTCATACTTGATTATTTCAAAAAAAAAGTGAAGAGTCATGGCCACAGATTCTAATTTTGTGCAAGCAGCCATTCCACATTTCGATGGTAATTATGACCATTAGAGCATGCTAATGGAGAACCTCCTTCGATCCAAGGAATATTGGGATGTAGTTACCAATGACGTTGTTGAACCCGCACTAGCAGAAGGAGCTCAGTTGACAGCAGCACAACGAGCAGCTCATGAAGCGGTAAAGTTGAAGGATTTGAAGGCGAAGAATTATCTCTTCCAGGCCATTGACCGTTCTATCATGGAAACCATTCTTTCCAAAGAAACTTCCAAGGATATTTGGGACTCCATGAAAAAGAAGTATCAAGGCTCTGCAAGAGCTAAGAGGCAGCAGCTTCAAGCTTTACGCTCGTAATTCGAAACACTTCGAATGAAGTCGGGAGAATCAATTGCAGATTATTTCTCTCGCGTGATGACCATTGTCAATAAAATGTGAATTCATGGAGACGGGATAGAAGAAATAACTGTCATAGAAAAAATTCTTCGATCATTAACAGCAAAATTTAACTTTGTTGTTTGTGCTATAGAAGAATCTAAAGATATAGATGATTTGTGACTTGATGAATTGTAGAGTTCATTGGTGGTGCATGAACAGAAGTTCAAACAGGAAGACACAGATGAGCAAGTATTAAAGGCTTCTACCGATACTCGTTCCAACAATTTTCAAGGAAGGGGTAGAGGTAGAGGTAGAGGTAGAGGCAGAGGTAGAGGAAGATCCACTAATTTCAGAGGCAATAATGATCAATTTCAAGGCAGAGGCAGAGGAGGAGCCTCTGATAAATCCAAGGTAGAATGTTTCAGGTGTCATAAATTTGGTCATTATCAATCTGAATGTTATACTAGGCTGCCAAATAGCAAAGAAAAAGGAGAAAGTTCAAACTTTGCAGAAAAGGAGGAAGGTGAAACCTTATTGATGGTTGCTAATGATGAAAAGAAAATTGAGCCAGATGTTTGGTATGTGGATACTGGCTGCAGCAACCACATGAGTGGTAGTAAGTCTTCTTTCTCTCATCTGAATGAAAATTTTCAATCTACTATGAGTTTTGGTGATCATTCTACTATGAAAGTAATGGGAAAAAGTGACATTAAAATAAAAACCAAAAATGGTTTTGTGGAAACAATATCTAATGTATTATATGTTCCTAATTTGAAAAGTAATTTATTGAGTGCTGGCTAATTACAAGAAAATGGTTATGTGATCACTATTAAAAATAGTGTTTGTGAAATATATGATTATGTTAGAGGTGCTATTGTTGTTATTCAGATGAGTTCAAACAAATTGTTTCCATTAAAGATTGAAGGAATCCAATCTAGTTTAATGGCTGAAATGAAAGATCCTTCATGGTTGTGGCATTTTCGCTATGGCCATTTGAGCTTTGGTGGGTTGAAGACGCTCCAACAGAAAAATATGGTGATAGGCCTCCCTCAAATCACAATTCCTCATTCCTTAGTATGTGAAGAAAGTGTTGTTAGCAAACAACATCGTTCTGAATTTGCAAAAGGGAACTCATGGAGAGCAAAGGGAATTTTGCAATTGGTGCATTCAGACATTTGTGGTTCAATAAATCCAATTTCTAATGGAGGTAAAAAATATTTAATTACCTTCATTGATGATTTTTCTAGAAAAACGTGGGTTTATTTTTTACAGGAAAAGTCAGAAGCTTTCTCTACATTTAAAAATTTCAAAGCTCGTGTGGAGAATGAGACAGGAAGGATGATTCAGACACTTTGCACAGATCGTGGTGGTGAATATTGCTCAAAAGAATTTGAAGCTTTTTGTGAAGAACATGGCATCCGAAAAGAGCTTACAACTGCGTATACACCACAACAAAATGGTGTATCAGAGAAGAAGAATAGAACCATCCTCAACATGGTTAGAAGCTTGTTGGCAAGAGGAAGAGTTCCAAAGACGTTTTGGCCAGAAGCAGTAAACTGGTGCATTCATGTCTTGAACAGAAGTCCAACCTTTGCAGTTCGAAATATGACGGCAGAAGAGGCTTGGAGTGGGAGAAAACCAAATGTGGATCACTTTAGAATTTTTGGATGCATTGCATATGCTCATGTCCCGGATCAGAAAAGAAAAAAACTTGATGACAAGGCTGAAAAATGTGTCTTTCTAGGTGTAAGTGATACATTTAAAGCATATAAATTATTTAATCCACTGACGGAAAAAATTGTGGTTAGCAAGGATGTTGTTTTTTATGAAGAAAACACTTGGGATTGGAATATGCAGCAGCCTACCCAAGTTCTTTGTGATATTGATTCTGAATAAGAGCAAATTTCAGCATCTAGTATGCCTGAAAATTCGTCCATTGCAACTTCTTCAGCTAGTCAATCCTCACCAACAGTAGTTGGAGTTAACGAAGAAGGAACTCAATCTCTTCGTCATGTTAGAAGAAGGCCTGCTTGGATGGAAGATTATGAGGTAACTGGAATTGAAGATCCAATTACTCACTTTGCTTTGTTTTTAGAATGTGATCTCGTGACTTTTGAGAGTGCTGTCAAAGAAGAAAAATGGCGAAAAGCAATAGATGCTGAAATTGATGCAATTGAGAGGAATGATACTTGGGAGTTAACTGATCTTCCAAATGGACACAAAATCATTGGTGTGAAGTGGGTGTTTAAAACAAAGTTAAAGGAAAATGGTGAAATTGACAAGCACAAAGCACGCTTGGTTGTCAAGGGGTACAAGCAACAATATGGGATTAATTATACAGAAGTTTTTTCTCCTGTTGCGAGACATGATACAATCAGGTTGGTGGTTGCATTGGCTGCACAAAATTCTTGGCCTATTTACTAACTAGATGTCAAATCGGCATTCTTGCATGGGTACTTAGAGGAACAAATATTTATTGAACAACCCCCTAGTTATGAGAAGGTTGGAAATGAGCATAAAGTTTACAAATTGAAAAAGGCACTTTATGGACAAGCCCCTCGAGCTTGGTATAGTCACATTGAGTCTTATTTTCTTAAGGTTGTAGGTTTATGGGTCTTTCACACTTATATGATCATCACTTGGTCTATATCTAGTCTATGTGGTACTTCTTTACAACTCATACTTGATTATTTCCAACACTATTTAGTATTTACATAAAGAATAATCCTTGGTACATTTTAGCCGGGCAAGATTCTAAGTTTTATTTTATTAAATAGTATTTTCAAGGGCAAAATTGGAAGAATTGAATCTTATTTAACAGTGTTAAGTAAAAGGACATGATAATTTTTTCTTTTACAAATAACAAGGGCATATATGATAAAAAAAAAACCACAGGGGCATTGATAATTTTGAAGTAAACCACAGGGGCATTGGTGAACTTTTCTAAAAAAAAAAAACACAATTCAAGAAAAACTCTTTCTAAGAGATTTTGGCTTTTCTCACAATTTGTTTGACCTAGTTTATGCTTACAAAGAGAAGAAAAGATAAAAATAAGAGTATCCAAATCAATGTTATTAAACTCGGCCCGATTATTGACTCGGTCTAGGTACTGGGTCAATGGGACAACTGTATGACCCGGTAAGTATATGTAAATCTAAAATTTATATGAAAAACAATAAATTACATATTATTGTCCAACAAAAGATCAATCAAACATATAATACTCGTGATATTGTTGCTTTAGGTTCAGTAGAAGATATTTATAACTATAAATTAAATCAAAATTAACTGTATATTACATAATCAAGATAATAATTAGTGTTGTACGTACATAACCTATGTCACTCAATAAGATCATTCAAATATTTTAAAAGAAAATAAACCATTTAGTGTTAATTTTTTTTATCAATGGGACCGAGTTACCGGTGAAAGTGACTGGGTCACTAATTTTTTTACTTACAAAAATCAGCGGGATAGCATCGATTCTATTACATGCCGATCCACTGTGAAAATCGGAGCAATTATATGATTAATTCACGGTTTTTGTGCCGATCCGGCCACATCAATTGATCAATTTCAAAAACACAAAATAATTAACGGGCCCCGTTGAAGTCCATATAAATTGAGAGCGTTGGTTGAGTTTAAGAGAAAGAAAAAAACAAAAGGAAAGGGAAAAATGGCGGGCTTTTTGGCCATGATCTCAAGCAACGCAAACAACAACTCGAACGCCATTGATCACTCAATCAGAGACCAATGGGAGATTTGCTTCGCTCGCTTCGTACCTTATCCCATCACTTCAACTTCAACTTCCTCAGATCTTCTTCCTCTCCCTCCTCGCCTCCGCAACCGCTCTCCTCGCGGCAACTGGATCTCTTCCTCCTCCGTCGCTTTCCTCCGCCTCTTCTCCGATCTCTCCATATCTGACGTCATCCTCACCGTCTCCTTCAACGCCAAACTCCTCGTCAGTCTCACATCCTCTATTTCATTCTTCCTTCTTCTTTTTTTTCTCTCGTGATTGAGCATTTCTTGCTTTAGATTTGTTTGAAATTCCAAACTCCGATTCCTATTTCACCTGTTAAATCAGATATGTGTTCGCACATTCGCATCGTTCTTTGTGCCTGATTGCACATAACATATATGTATTTTGTAGCTTCGGATAGATAGAATATTAATTTTACTTAATTGTTGCAATTTTTTTTTTAACTTTCTCGATAAGTTTATTTTATTCCTTTTTGGATAAATTTATTTGAATCGAAATTCGAAAGCGATTTTGTTGGACTAGAACATGTTTCGAGTTTGAAATTCTGAAACTGTGTTGTATAATACGTGGCAGGAAGAGCACTACGTTTCCAAGCTGCATTTTTCTTGGCCTCAGGTGTCATGCGTCTCTGGATTTCCTGCCAGGGGAACTAGAACTGTGATAGTGAGCTATAGAGATTCCGTCGGAGAGGCAAGCTTGTTCTGCATGCTTTATATTTTAATGTTCTTGTGTTATACGTCGTTGATAGCTTTATATTCAGAGCCATTTTTTCATGTGACTTGAGAAGTTAAGTGAAATTAAACTCTTCCCGATGGATTGCTTAGCGGTAGACTTATTAATTGCCTCTCTAACGTTATAGCTTTGTAAAATAAGTACATGATCACGTAAACAGGTGACAGATGTGGTTGTGTACGTTTAAGCCTATATGTATTGGCGTTTGTTTGAACAATACATGCCTCTGTAATGTACCACTTACATCGATAATGTATATGATAAGTAGCTTCCACAGTGGTTTTCAAAATTTTTATTATCCAAGCATATGTTAGCTACGTGTAATGCTCCTAAGCTTGTTAGGGGCGTTACATTTGGTTTGGTGTTGTGTAAATTTAGGAGATAACTTGTTGATGACTCCCCATAATAATAATCGATTGTAATTTGTAACATCAGTAACAAACTGGAACTACAATTTTGATTCACGACCTTCTGAGAGTAGCTTTGCATAAACGTGATAGTTGGGTTGCTAGGGTGTGACGGGATTGTTAATTTATTGAGTGAACTGCAAATCTGGTCGCACACACAAACTGCCTTTTTCAAACAGACTATTGTATATAGAGTTTTTTCTTGGTTGTCAGACTATGAAATAGATAGTTAATGCAAGGTTCACATTGCTACTTTTCCTTTTTGGCAGATTCAAAAGTTTGCTATGCGGTTTCCATCAATCTATGAAGCACAGTCATTTATCAATGCTTTGAAGGTAACGATTGCTTATCAAAATATGATAATCACCATTCACAGAAATACATGGAACCAGGGAGCTACACTTCTATAATCATTCACATAAGTACATGGAACCAGGGGGCTGCACTTCTATAACCATATCTTTCCTCGTTAATTCTTGATTGTTATGTTCCTTTCCAGGAGATCCTGAAAGATGAGAAGAGCCCAGAACCTTTAAATACTGACTTTGGTTCTGAAATTTCAGCACAGTCGGAGTTCATGTCATCAAACAAGCACTCCCATAGGTATAGAGTTTTGTGTGATTGGTTAGGTTATATTGGGAGGAATGGGAGGATTTGGCTCTGAGTTCTTACTCCTTGATAGATTGTTAATTGTCAATTGTCAATCTTTGTTTAATACATAACCTTTCACACTGCTCTGTTTTTTTATTTTCATGTACATCTTTTGTTCTTTTCTTTTTTTACTTTTGTGCAGAGGAGATATATGCTTCTCATTTACCTATATAGAAGTATAAGTTGAGCCTTGCTGTATTTGTGTAGAGCTTGTGAGGAGCTGAACTTTTTGACTCCGGTTGACTCTTACATTCCACAAATGCCACAATGTATGAATAATGAAGGAGAGCAACCTTCAGGAACCCAAGAAAAGGAAACAATTCCCGGTAACAACGTTGAAGGCATCCTCCCAGCCTTGCCACCTAGTTTTGCCTCACTACTAATGGATTGCTCTGAGATCAGCCATGGTTGGTGAACATTTTTTTTTTAACATAGTATTTGTTCTGATTTCTACCACAGCTTATTTCATTTGAATAAAATCATATCTTGCAGCTCAAGCAACTGTTTCCGAGGAAGTAGATCTCAAGTCCCAAATTGTGGTACATATTTTGAATATTTGCTAGATCACCAAAATTACATTGATATGATACTCATTATAAGATTAGCTTTGTCTAAGATGTGAATATTTAGGAAGTACATATTCTCTACTGTTCATTTGTTGTTCCATGATATTTTATTTACTTTGATGCAGAGGTACATGGAAGATTCTTCGTTCCAAGGTAGCAATCCCTCTTTCTTATTGCTTATCTCTCTTACATTGGTAAAATATAATGTGCCTTTCTGTTTATCTAGTTCTTTTGTCTTTTTTCTCCCTAGTCCTAGGGTAGAACATGAGTGGAAAACTCTGAAAGTTTCTTATTCTTCTTTGGATTGAATATGAATTTTTTTATGCACCCCGTAGTTTTATGTACCACATATCAGTGGTAGTTTTATAGTTATCCTCTTTATGCTTATGAATTATTAGAGGTCCGAACTTAACTTGCTTAAGCTACATCCATTCTTTTGTTAATATTGTGTGGTCTGCTAAATTTTGTGTCCAAAAATACTTATGTACCTCTTTCATGTTATTAGATATGTTGATTAAGGTGGAGAAAGTTATCAGCGAAATAGGTGGTGATATGTCCATCTAGTTGTCCAGGGCATTGAAAATGACCCACCGAGCAGCTTAGCGTCTCTTCCTGCTTACTGAACCACGGTCAACTTCACCACATTCAGCCGAAAAAATGTAGAGTGGCTTTCTTTTTCTGCACAGTGCAGCTAAGTTGCTGATTTGAGGCTAAATTTCGTCTTAGCTTCTTTTATTGTTCAGCAGATAGTAATGCCAGAAGAAAGGCAACGTATGATAGATCCCTGTTTAGCTATTAAAATCATGTCAAGTGGTTTCTGTTTAAGAAATTTTAGTTGAAACAGCGATCTCGTGAAAATCTTAATCAAATCTAGTTCAAAAATCTTAGCATAGAGATTTTCTTCACTTGTCACCAGATGTCATGGAGTCTAGCAAAATGGAGTCATGGCATCCCTGTTTTCCATAACGGCCAAATTGATTTAGAAACTCATCACTGCATAATTTCCAAGTTATTCTCATCTCAATGACACACTCTAAATGGTTGATGAGAATATTTATTTGTGGACGAAAAAAACCTGACTATAGGCCACTGCAAATTTTGCTTAAGATTAGTTGACTGAAATGAAAGAGGATGTTTAACTTATGTGGAAAAACTTACACCAACGAAGCAATCTTAGGATTGAAGATGAATGAGGGCACCCATTGCACCACCTAGATTTGTCTTAACAATCTCCCCGAGGTCTATACTATGACCTATGAAGTTTGTTATTCTAAATTTGATGGGCCCTGAAAAGGAGGCCTGGGATCAACAGGCTAACTGCTAACTATATTTTGAGGCAAGGATTGTTTTCTAGAAATGATCCACATAGTTTAGTTCTCAATGATCCTTTATAATTTTTAATATTTTTGAAATAAATAGTTTTAAGTTTCAATGATCGAAATTTAACAATAAATATATTCACATGCTTAGGGAGAGAGTTGAAAACTTATAATGATGAAAAATAAATTGGAGAACGAAAGAAAACAAAAACACATGAAACCTTTGAAAAATTGGCAAAAGTGATATAAAAGAAGTATGCATTAAATTTCCAAAACTCAATCACATTTTAATGACTCAATCAAATTTACTTTAGCTCGTTCACACTTCATAACGTGATTTTTTTCAATGTGATATAGCTTAGGTTTAAAAATGTAATTTTGAACTTTCCCCAATAATAGGACAAATCAGATTCGCAAATGAACCCCCCAAAAAAAAAAAAAACAGCTAATAAGTTGGAGCAAGATGTTTCCCCACTGTATGGGTCTCACGTTGCATGGGTTTTTTCCACCTGCTGGGTAATGTGGATGGTTGTGGCCTGTGGTGGTCTAAGGATGATTGTGGAAGATTTTTGGTTGGGTTCATCGCATCTATTCATTGGTCAAAGCAGAGAGGTTACATAGTGTACTCATAGTGGTACATAGATGTCTCCCGTGAGGGTGAAGTATGTTGATATAGGGGGTGTCCATAGTGGCAATGGTAGAGACCAAGCACTAGTGGAGCTTCCCATGGTGCATAAAGGGGGGGGGGGGGGTGTGTGGAAGTGGCTAAGGTGGCTCTCCATAGTCACAGCCATAGTGGCTGAGTGGAGAAGAAGAAGTCCTTCCTTCAATGTGAGAGGGGGTATATAGAGCAAGAGCCCTAGTCAACCTAGCCATCCTAGCCTTTTCAGGCTAGGCATGCTGAACCCCTGCCCTTGTGCAGGGGCAGCTGGTGTGCATGGGGAAGAGGGGGAATCCTAAGTTGCCTTCTAGAAGAGGGCTTTTTAGGCTGGGCCTAACGGTAGGGCCCATGTGAGTGGGCTATCCAGAATAGAAGCCCCCCAGCTTGGTAGCTTTGCGAAGCAAGGGTGCCAAGATGTATGGCAGCTTAAGCCGGTTGTTCGTAGTGTGAAGTGTTCTAAGTAGGATATAATGTAACCGATCGATAATACGTCGGCCTTCATGAGTTGTTTATTTGTTGTCGTCGAGTATGAATTGTCTGATTGAAGATGCTTGAGTACTTCAAGAGAATCTTCTATTATGGCTTGCAATTGTGCTTAACTTTGTTGTCATCGAAGATGTGTTTTGTTATTGAGGAAGGTCTTCAAATGTTGTTGTAGTAATAATTCAATTGTAAGAATAAGTTGGCGAGCCCGTGTTGAAGCAAATAGCCTGAAGATGTTGACCACTCGAATAAGAATGTCTTGATGATCTGATAAAATAAAGTCGATAGGATTGCAGATCCGAGCTCCGTGAGAAAATAAAGTAGCAGATGAGATCTTCTGGAGAGGATAATGTCTTCCAAAATAGAGAGTGATGGAGATCCTCATGATAAATATGTATATTCCCTTCTTCAGAAATAAAACTTGCTGGCGATATGAGTGTATAATAAATAAAGCACAGTGACTTGGGTCTTTGATGTCCGGTTGCTCCAATTTAAATCCTGCAACAACTAGTATAGTTGTGTATAAATGACGATAAAAATGTGCCTAGATGGGGCGTTGGCCAAGCGCCGGCCATCTAGGACTTTTGCCGAGGGGTAGCACATCTCGGACTTTATTAACCGAGGGTGAGAACCATCCCGACCTTCATAGTGTACCGGGGGTGAGAACCGTCCCGACCTTCTTAATTATCGGGGGTGAGAACCGTCCCGGCCTTCATAGTATACCGGGGGTGAGAACCGTCCCGGCCTTCATAGTGTACCGGGGGTGAGAACCGTCCCGACTTTCTTAATTACCGGGGGTGAGAACCGTCCCGGCCTTCATAGTATACCGGGGGTGAGAACCGTCCCAGCCTTCGTAATTATCAGGGGTGAGAACCGTCCCGGCCTTCATAGTATACCAGGGGTGAGAATCATCCTGGCCTCGTAGATTGTTTAAGCAATTCATATGGCATTTATAATCATATGAAATTTATAAAGATGCGGTAGAGAGAAACATGTATATGCTAGTGAAGATATGTTATTACCAGGTATTGAAAATAAAACCTGATAATGTGAATGTAGTTGAATACTTTGACGTGTAAATGTTGGTTTGATAATTTGCAACTTGACTGCCTTGAGTGATTGTGCTACAAGTGAGTTTACTCCTCCACCACGCCTTTGGGAAATTAAATCTCACGTGGATCAGGAAGGTCACTGCGGGATATTGGATTGTATTGCAAACTTGCTTTTTCTTCTCGCATGTATTTCGAGAGCAGGCATTTACATGGTTATATAATCATGCCCCAGAAGCTTTGAATTCTCCCTTTTTGCTTTAACAAGTGATTTGCTTTAACAAGTACTATAAGAAATTTTTCCTATATTGCTTTTGAAGATGGCGGGTCCCACGGGAAGATTGATTGAATTCTCCAAAGAAAATTTGTTTGCATTTACTACTAAACTCATATGCTCCCAGTAAAAATAAAGGCCTTACTCAATGTCTTGAATGCTTACGGGTCCCCCAGTATGATGAAGAATTTGGATTGTGCATTTGCTTTGCTCTGCACGAGCATCAAGGCGAGATATTCAAGTCCAGCAGGGCGAGAGATTCTAGTCCAGGTGCACTTTCTTTTCCCGAGCTTCAAGGCGTGTGTGGGAATAGAAAATTTGTAAAAGGACTTTGTGTCTGTTAATTATTAGATAGCTCAAATGAATTTTATAATCAAACGAGAGGATGACCAAAAAGAATCATATATATGACGAGATGTTATTGCTGAAAATAAAACCTGACCATGTGAGTGTCATTGGACACTTGGCATATACATGTTGATTGGATAGCTTTTAGTTTGTTGATGAATGTTGGCCTTCCTGATGGCGGGATCGAATGCTGGTCTCCCTGTTGGACGAGATGAGAGCTTGGTCTCCATGTTGGGAGAGCTGAAATGCTGACCTCCCTGTTGGGCGTGATGAAAAGCTGGACTCCCTGTTGGGCGTGATGAAATGCTGACCTCCCTGTTGGGCGTGATGGAAAGCTGGACTCCCTGTTGGGCGTGATGAAATGCTGACCTCCCTGTTGGGCGTGATGGAAAGTGGGACTCCCTGTTAGGCGTGATGAAATGCTGGCCTCCCTGTTGGGCGTGATGGAAAGCTGGACTCCCTGTTGGGCGGGATGAGAGCTTGGTCTCCATGTTGGGAGAGCTGAAATGCTGACCTCCCTGTTGGGCGTGATGAAATTCCCTGTTGCGTGATGGAAAGCTAGACTCCCTGTTGGGCGTGATGGAAAGCTGGACTTCCTGTTGGGCGTGATGGAAAGCTGGACTTCCTGTTGGGCGTGATGGAAAGCTGGACTCCCTGTTGGGCGTGATGAAATGCTGACCTCCCTGTTGGGCGTGATGGAAAGCTGGACTCCCTGTTAGGCGTGATGAAGTGCTGGTCTCTCTGTTGGGCATGATGAAATGCTGGTCTCCCTGTCGGGCGAACTGGCCATGTGAGTGCATTGAACACTTGGCATGCAAGTGTTGGTTGGATAGCTCCATGGTTTGTTGACGAGTATTGGCCTTCATGTTGAGAGGGCAGAAGGAGCGAGGTCCATCCAATAGCATTTTCACCTAGTAATGTCGCTCGGCATCTTCTTGCACTTGTATTTAATATACATGCACCACGAATTTAAAACTTGGAATTCACGTGCTCCCAGTAAGTAAAGTACCTTTAGGCGATGCCTTTAATGCCTTGATATCACAATATATAAAATATTGGTTTAATTGTTAGCATTTGTGCTTTAATGCTTGGAGCATTACACGTAACATTTATATAATATGCTTCGTTGTTTTACGTATATATATATTTTGTATATATATATTTTGAAGTTTATTAGCTTGTATGCACGGTTTACAACACGCACATCTTGAAGCTTTTTAACAGGATTTCAAAACTTGGAATTAGCTTCTAGGCCAAAAGGTGGCGGACCCCACAACATTTAATGGAGAAAGAGAAAGCCTTATATTGATAAGGAAGGCTCAATGTTCTGCACAAGGCATTGAGAAAGCCTCGCCTTTCTGTCATCGGATTTAAAAGGTGGACCCCATGAGGAAGTGGTTGCAGCATTGAAATGTCTATCTAGTCTTGCCAGCTTTGAAATATATATATAAAGAAAAGTATCAATTAAATATATGAACTTATCTGTTGGGACCGGCTACGATTATTCCTCCTTTTGAAATGACGCTCGCCAAAGTTCAAAGGTGAGCTTGCACTGACCGAGCCCATCGACGGTGGGGCTTTTCCTTGGGCGGTGGGATATTGGGTGCTGGTTGGTAATGGCGGTGAACAGGCGACCGGAGAGGTGGGCGCATACATGAGTATCCCACAGGTAGGGACCGAGTTATTTTTCTCGTAGTGGATCTTCTCTTGACGGTGACTGCTTCTGCTCGGTTTGAAGGCGTTGGTTCCGATTTGCTTGAAGGCTTTCAGTTTAATGTTCATCTTCCACTTTGGTAGGGACGAAGGCTACTTACGGTGGGCGGTTGGTCTCTCTGACTGATGACCGGTTTAGATGTGGGACCAGAATAGTCCGCTGAATGGATTTACTCAGGCTCGGGCCGTTCGGGTTTGGGATCGGAAGATCGGGCGATTTCGCTATCTGATGATGCTAGCTCGGTGCTGCATGTGGTTCATTTAGTTTTGAACTTCTTGTCTGGCGTTCGGAGTTTCCAGACCTGGGCGATGGGTTTTTTCCTTCTTCAGGGCGGTCTATTTGGGTTTGTTTGTGACGACAAGGCTTTGTAGTTGGGACCTCGAGGCTGATGGTTGGTGACATGGGTGAGGCCAAGGGCGGCCGTATTCTGGGCGACCAGGTTCTAGGCGATAGATTTCTCATTCTGGTTGGTCATGGTTCTGATCCCGATCGGTTTGGTTGGGCGAGCTGCTTACTGGTCGGTGGGTCGATGAGGATAAGCAGGTTGATCGTCGGTCATGGCTATTTCTTTGATAAGGTTGCTGATAGGAAACCCACTGACTTGTGAAGGGTTTATGGATGAAGCTTGTCAGGATCGGTGACGGGTAAGGGATGACTAGTAAACTGGGAGAAAAGAGGGTTTCGTGCTTTCTTAGAGCTTCCGGTAGAAGAATGGGAATCAAAATTTGTGGTTCCCCACACACGGCGCCAATGTACTCATGGTGGTACATAGATGTCTCCCGTGAGGGTGAAGTATGTTGATATAGGGGGTGTCCATAGTGGCAATGGTAGAGACCAAGCACTAATAGAGCTTCCCATGGTGCACAAAGGGGGGTGTGTGTGGAAGTGGCTAAGGTAGCTCTCTATAGTCACAGCCGTAGAGGCTGAGTGGAGAAGAAGAAGTCCTCCTCTCAATGTGAGAGGGGGTATTTAGAGCAAGAGCTCTAGTCAACCTAGCCAGTCTAGCCTTTTCAGGCTAGGCATGCTGAACCCCTGCCCAGCTGGTGCATGGGAAGAGGGGGCATCCTATGATGTCTTCTAGAAGTGGGCCTTTATGCGATTGGGCCCATCTGGTGGGCCTAAGTAAATAGCATCCGGAACAGATCCATCATATTTTGAAGATCCACATGCTTGGAACATGAGATTTGAGGCAGGGTTGGTTTCTTCCTTTCTTATTTGAATTATAGGTATGATGAAATCATTTAGATTGTTGGGTGATAATAGAGGATAAGCACAGAAAGCTGAAGAAAAAGGAAGTACTATATAACCGAATGTTTTCATTACTTATTATATTTGATTTTTCTTCTTTAATTAAATTTTTTTTTTTTGGTGCACGAGAGCTTGTGCTAGGAGCATCATAAGAGAATGAACTGTGTTTACATTTTTATTTTTTTGCATGTAAATTACCTAATGTATGTATTCCTGCGATGTTACTTGTTTTAGCTGTAGGCCTTATTTGTAGTCTTACTTCTTCTTTTTTCTTTCTTTTTTGTGCTGGGCATTTTTTTGGCATGTGTTCAACTTTTACTAGAAGTGCAGATTTTGGGTTCAGCTAATGCAACATTCCTATTAATAGAACCATGATTTCAGTGTATTTCTAATATACGAGATAGTATTCCTTCTTTGTTCCTCTTGTTCTTCTCCTCTTAGTTGTTCCTGAGGAGGTTTTCATTGTGGTTGTTTTTGTGGTGGAGATGATGCTTTACAAAATGGTATATAAAGGGAGTAGGAAATGGGGGAGAAAGATTTTTGAGGAGGTTCCTCTTGTTGTTCCGATGTTACATATTTCTTTTTTATCAACCTCTTTGCTAGAGGCTCATTGTCATCATCTTTTACTTCAACCTCAAATAGGTCAATGGGCTTTTCAGCGATCGTTTCCTCTGCTTCCTTGGAAGGTTGGCTGCTGAATGTCCGCCTTATCCTTTGAGATCTCCTTTCGCCTCTGGTTGCGGCTGGTTTTGAAATTGATGTTGTGGACACCTTTCTTTTCTTGCTGTCAGTAGCAGCAGAGGTAGACCTAATTTGGATAGGTAAGATACAGAGGTTGGCTTGGAGGGGGCTTCTTCAGAGGGTTTCTTCTTTTTGGTTCCAACCTTCTCAGACCCTTCAGTAGTTTTAGCTAACTTTTTAGTTAGGGTAGATGATGATTACTTTGTGGGTGCAGAGGAAGGTTTCTTATCTGCCTCTAATTTCTTGGCAGTGGTGGTTTTCAGTTTTTTGGTGGAGGTAGATGAAGAAGATTCTCTTACTCATCTCTTCTTGCTTTATTTTTCTGGCTCAGGTTTGTAGCAGTATTTCTGATAAGCCTCAGCGTGCTTCCATTTAGGGTCACCAAAAGTCTTGAGCAAGGTGCTCCTTGTTGTTCGGTTGATGGGTGATCCAGAGAAAGCTTCATTGTTCTGAAGAGGAACAATGACACCAGTATTTATGCATAACTTGGAAACAAGGCAAGGAAAGCAAAAAAGATTTTTCTTGAAGTCATTTTTCAAACTTTCATAGACGAGGGAGGGGAACAACATCAAAAAATATTCCCTCCATTAAACAGTAAATTGGTACCTTCATGCTCCATTTGACCGAAGACTCATGAGTGGTGGGGTGGTGCTGGAATTGGTGAAAAGAGTGACACGAGTTGTCGAACTTGCGCAAATTAATAAAATCAGGTTTCTTAAAATTGTAGTAGAGCGTCAACCTGAGTCGTCTCTCAAGGAAATCGCAAGGATTAAAATCGCGATTAAAACATAAAATCAGGGGGGGGGGGGGTTGTTCGCTTTGAATAAGAATTAAAATAGAACGTAAAAATTGAAATTGAAATTCGTAATTAAAATAATCAACCTAAGGTTAGGATTCTTAGGATAACTTTTCTCGGATAAAAAGATACCAGAATCGTGATTGATCTCAATTAAATCAGAATCCTTGTTTTCAATTGAAAACCCCGTCTAAGCAATCGCTTAGCATTTGGTCAAATATTGTGCTTCTACTTATACAATCATAGAGCATTAGCCTGTTTGACTTAAGGTCATAGGGTTAATCAATCTAATCATCAAATCTGACGATTAATCTCTTTTCATAATCGCAATCGTGAATCTCAGATTGAATATCCACAATCGCACGATATCAATCTGAGTTTAGAAGAAAAACGAATCTGATTTAAAGGAAAACGTAAATTCTCAAGACTAATCCATGGAATCCATTACCCTTAGGTAGATCAAAGGGTGCTTAGCCTAGCATGGCTAAGATAAACATAATTCAAGATTAAAAAGAAAAAGAAGAAGAACAAAATTGAATTAAAATCTCCAGAGGCAATTTTTCGATCGTACAAACTTTCAAACGAAGACTGTCGACAAGTTTTCTAAACGAAACCCATCCAAACCGGGTTAGGGTTCAACTAACGTCGGCCCATAATAATAAAAATAAAAACAGAATTAAAACTGAACAAATGGTCTTGGGCCTTGTAAGAACCCACACCGTGAAATTAGGAAATAATTCCATAATTGACCCTAATAATTATTATGAGGCTTTAATAATTGTAGTAAGTGATTAAGAATGCTGAAAGTCGCTTTTCAGAGGAAAAGTGCAGATATCGGTTCTGCTAGTCGGTATAAATGCGTTCCGAAAAAGTATCCCAGAAAATTATAATAAGTGCATGATAATTATTAGAATAACATGTAGGAATTGTAAAACGAGTTTCAAGTCTAAATAATAAGAACTGGTGCCAGAAACTGGTACTGACTATGAAAAGCGCGTACCGGAAAGGTGCTCTGAAAATTATAAGAAAAATATGATAATTCTTGTAAAATTGAGTAGGTTAAGAATCCTGAGTTTGAGATTAAAATACTAAGCGTAGCAATTAAAGTTAATACTATGTGTTTATTGGTTAAGTGACTATATAAGCTTAGTGCACATGATCCTAGGTCATAAATTGCTGCCTCCTACATGAATTTTGCTGAGTCTTGAGTCAGCCACCATCTTGCCACCTTCTCCTCCATTGTTGTGAGCCAAGGAGCTTCCTTTCTCCTTGGTTTCTTCTCCAAAACACCTTAGGTTAGTGGGAATACTTGGGTGAGTGTGTTGTGAGCTCCATTTCTGAGTTGATGGGCTGTCTTGAGGGCCTTTGGGTGCTGACTTTGGGAGTTGGTGTAGTTGAGCCATGGTCATGGCATTTTAACATCCAAGTGGTGACCTTTGGTGTGAAAGAACCAACCTTTGTGAAGGAATTTTCGTTGGGTGTTCAAGTCAGAACCTTGGAGCTGTTGTGTGAGCTCCAAGAGCATCCTTTTTGCCGAGTTTTAGCTCTGGTAAGTTGTACCAACCTTGGTCTTGAGTTTTGTTGCTTAAAGATGAAGTCTTGGTATGTTAAGGGGTTAAACAAGTAACCAACTGTCATATGAACATAAATGAACCTTAATATGCATGTTTAAGCTTCTAGAAGTGTTAAAAATGGAACCTTGGAAGGATATCTTCGCAAAATGCAGAAACTGCATTCTGTCGCAAAATATCTGAATATTTGTCGTGGAATATCCGGATATTGATATCCGGATATGATGATCTGGATATCCGGATATTGATATCCGGATATTGCCAGAGTGATATCCGAATATTGGATATTCGGATATTGCCTGTGAGATATCCAGATATGTCCCCGTAGAATATCCGGATATTCTGGATTTTCGAAGAACAGTAGCTGTACTGTTCATACAGTAGGCTATTGGGGGTTTGTGGACCCTAGTTTGAGGAAGTTGAACTTCTGTAATTAATTAGTGTAAGCCAGAATCATGTGATTAAGGGCTTATGGCTTGTGAAAAGCCTTAAGACGTAAAACGTAATGGAAAGACGTTGTCTTAATATTGTATGCTTGCGGTGCATGTTTATTGATATATTATTGGTCCATAACAGATTGTGAATATGTTGTGTTTGGACTTTGAGCTGTGGACTCTTGGCTTTGGGTGTTAGCTTGCAAGGTAAGCTTTCGTGTCCTCGATTTAGCCATGTTGTGGTTCCACCATGTCCCATGGGGGTATGGTTATATGCATGCTGTGTTACATGCTTTTGATATATGAAATGCTGTTGAGCTTTATGTGTTAATGGCTTTTAATATGCATGTGTTGTTCCATCTTGACGGTAAGCCTGAGTATGTAGCGTCATACAAGACGGTGATCCGGGATGGATGCAGTAGCATCTTGCACTATTTGTGTGTATTAGACGTATATAAATCCTGCATTTCTCTAGCCAGTAGAATAGAATTGACACACATGACATGATTATCTGCTGCATTGCACTGTTTTAGAAATGATATTGATGAACTGCTTTTAAACTTATATTGCACATGTAAGTGAGCTTGGGGTGGAAGATCCTTGAGGACCCCTTGTCTTGCTGAGATTTCTTGTTTAGAGATCTCACCCCACGTTTGGGGAATGCTTATTTCAAGTTCAGGTAGTATGCTTACCGGATATATACGGGGTGTTACATTTATGGTATAAGAGCAATGGTTCGAGGGAAAATCCTGTATGTATTGCAATAGCTAGGATGTTTGGTTGTGTCTGTCTTGTGTGTTTACTCCGTCGAATTTTATTATGATAATGCATATGTAATCACATTGCGTGGGCCTGATCAACTCATAATTTGTGTAACTTGTGCAGAGTCATGGTAAGGTCCGGGAGAACACAAGAGACTTCTGAGGATCAACCCGATCCTATCCTGACTGCATTGGCTGAGATGCAGGCGGCTAGGTTAGCCGATCGGGAGGCCACTAGATTGGCCAACACGACAATGATGGACGCTGATCGCGAGGTGAACCGGATAGCCGCAGAAGAAGTTTGTGAAGCGAACCGGAGGACCATTGAGGATGTCCTCGAGGAGAACATGATGGCGAACATGACGATGATGAGAGTCATGTTGGAGGAGATGAGGGCTGGTCCTGCTGTAGGCCAGTTACCACCGCCACCACCGCAACCACCGCCGCTGCCTCCACCTAGTGTTCAGGATGAGAGCTTGAGTCACTTTGGCAGTGCTGCTCATGTCGCTGAGACGAGAGAGACTCTTGTAGAGCCTGCTGAGGATCGTGATGTGATAGATCGCCGGCTGAATGCTTTCAGAAAGCATAAGCCACCTGTGTTTGAAGGGTCTTTGGATCCTATTGCCGCGGCGAGATGGCTGGGATCGCTGGACAAGATATTTCGGGTCATGCTGTGTACAGACCCACAGAAGCTGATGTTCTCGACTTACATGCTGGAGGGCGATGCCCGTGAGTGGTGGACGAACACCTCTTGTGCTTTTGAGATGCATGGTCGTGTCTTGACATGGCCATTCTTCGAGGAATGCTTTCTGGGAAGATACTTTCCCTACGATGCGCAGGAGAGGAAGCAGGGGGAGTTTGATCGATTGGTTCAGGGCTCGATGTCTGTTGACGAGTACCTGGCCAAGTTCAATGAGCTTGTGAAGTTTGCGCACCAACTATCATTTGATCCTACATATGGAAGAGGATAATATGGGTAATATTGAGAGTTTTCTACTAAGTTTACACGGTTAGTTGATTTAATTTGGACATTTATGCTGTATTTTTAATTTCAAAAGTTAGTGGATGTTCTTGGAGATTATTAGCATTGAGGTGGAAAAATCATGCTCAAAGGATTCAAAGCAATGCAATAATTGGACACGATGTCTGGTATGAGGCTTGCTGAGCAGCAAAGGAGGAGTAGGATCAATGAGAAATTGAAGGTTGCAAAATCTAATTCCAAATTATAACTGGTTTGTTCTACCTCAGTTTGATGTGCAAACTTATATGCTTTCAGTTTTAGGAAAACGGAATATTTCCACTTCTGCATTTCATTATTCTTTTATTCCTGCGATAGGGGATAGAAAATTAATATGCAAAAGAAAGGACCGGACTTCTTCTATAATTTTTTATATTCTTAAACTTTAGCCACTTTTCACTGTTGAAGAACCTTTTCGGTCTTCATCAATTAGGATGTTAATGAGACTTTATAGCTTTCCACCTTGAAGCCATAATGCAGGTTGGAACTATCAAAGCGAAAAGTTCAGGGGATAGAAAAGGTTGAATTTTAACGTTTCTTATATATCACTTCCATTTCAATTGTTTGCCACTTGCCAAGACTTCAATTATATCAACATCAACAACACCTTTATCCCAAATTAATTGGGGTCGGTGGTAGATGAACCCACATGAAAGATACAAAATGGTTGAAAAAAAAAATAAAAAATAAAAAATAAAAATAAAAGTAAAAAAGTAAAAAAGCCAAAAATAAATAAATAAAAATAAACAAATAAAATAAAAATATAAATAAGATAAAATAAAATAACAATATATGTATAAATAAATAAATAAAAGTAAAAAAGAAAGGGACAAGAAGAAGTGGGGGAAATGAAGGGGAAAAGGACTAAAAAGGGACCATCTGGAACATAGGAATAACAGCGGGTCTAACCCTCCACCATACTTATAGCTTTTCTCCATTCCGTTCTAAGACATACTGTCCGCCAATCTATATCCCACTCCATTAAATCTTGTTTTACTACTTTCCCCCAAGTAAGCTTCGACCTACCTCTGCCTCTTTTTGTGTTGAGCTCTTGGTAACAAACTTCTGTTTTTACAGGAGCATCCATGGGTCTTCTCATCACGTGCCCAAACCACCTCAATCTATGTTCTCTCATCTTCTCGGCTACCGGTACTACTCCGACCTTTCGTCGAATATCTTCATTTCTTATCTTATCCATCCTTGTGTAACCACACATCCACCTTAACATCCTCATCTCTGCTACTCCCATCTTATGCTCATGTTGCCTATGTGCTGACCAGTATTCTGCTCCATATAGCATTGCCGGTCTTACTGCCGTTTTATAGAATTTTCCTTTTAACTTCAGGGGGATTTTGCGGTCACACAAAAATGCAGATGCACTGCGCCATTTCATCCACCCTGCTCTGATTCTGTGATTTACATCCTCATCAATCTCTCCACCGTTTTGTAAAATGGAGCCCAAGTATTTAAAAGCATATTTTTTGGGTACCTCTTAACCATTTAGATGCACAGGTTCTTGGTCCTCATCTCGTACCAGAGAAAACTCACACTTCAGATACTCAGTCTTGCTTCGACTTAATGTGAATCCTCTGGATTCCAATGTGCTTCTCCACAATTCAAGTTTTCTATTAACACCCTCCTTGCTCTCATCAATAAGCACAATATCGTCTGCAAAAAGCATACACCATGGCACTTCCTCTTGAATATCTTTTGTTAGTTCATCCATAACTAAGGCAAAGAGGTAAGGACTTAGAGCCGACCCTTGGTGTACACCTACCGTGATAGGAAAATAACTTGATGATCCGTTACAAGCTTTTACACATGTAGTAGCCCCATCATACATATCCTTGATTGCCTTTACATACTTTAATGGAACCTTTTTCTTCTCCAGGACCCACCATAAAACTTTCCTTGGAACCCTATCGTATGCTTTCTCACGGTCTATGAACACCATATGCAAGTCCTTTTTCTTTTCTCGGTATCTTTCCATTAGTTGTCGCATCAAGAAAATTGCTTCCATGGTACATCTTCCTGGCATAAATCCAAATTGATTTACAGAAACCTTGGTATCTCTCCTCAAGCGATGTTCAATAACCCTCTCCCACAACTTCATAGTATGGCTCATTAGCTTAATGCCTCTATAGTTTGAACAATTTTGTATATCTCCCTTGTTTTTGTAGATAGGCACAATCATACTTTTCCTCCATACATCAGGCATCTTATTCGTCTGGAGAATCTTATTAAAAAGATTGGTCAACCATTTTATTGCCACATCCCCCAGGCCTCTCCACACTTCAATAGGGACACCATCAGGCCCTAAGGCTTTATTAGTCTTCATCCTCTTTAAAGCCTCCTTAACTTCATGTGTATTAATTCTGCGTACAAATCTTCTATTCATATCATCACACGCGTCCTCTAAGTCCACCTCGCTTGTATCTCCATCCCCATTATACAGCTTGTTGAAGTATTTCAACCATCTTTCATTTACATCTTCATCTCTCACCAGAAGTTTTTGATTTTCATCCTTGATGCATCTAACTTGGGTGAGGTCTTTACTTTTCTTATCCCTTATCTTTGCAAGTTTATAAATACCTCTTTCACCATCCTTGCTCCCAAGACTTCAATTATATGTGGTAAAAAAAAACGATTTCTGAGAAGAATAAATAAATATCAAAAGCAAACAAAACTGAATGGCTCCACTTATTTTTGCTTCCGGGGAATTGACTTTGGATAGATATATCTGCAATGCAGCCTTTTTTTTGTAGCAATGATTTGTTTGATTAGTGAGCTTTTGTTGAAAGAAAATCTAAAAGACACCAGCAGTTCTCATTTTAAAATATAGGAAAACAAGATCTTCAGATTTGATAGGCTTTATGTGATTGTTGGCTTGCCAATTTAAAATTTGAGATATTAGTTTTTGACTTTGGCATTTTGAAGGTGAAAATTGGTGATCTCGGATTGGCTGCTATAGTGGGACGGAGCCATGCTGCACATTCAATTTTAGGGACACCTGAATATATGGCACCCGAGCTGTATGAGGAAGATTACACTGAGATGGTGGACATATACTCTTTTGGAATGTGTTTGCTTGAAATGGTCACAATGGAGATACCCTACTGTGAATGTGACAGTGTCGCCAAGATATACAAAAAGGTCACCATGGGAATTAAGCCTCAGTCCTTGAGCAAAGTCTCAGATCCAGAGGTGAAGGCTTTCATTGAGAAGTGCATAGCACAACCAAGGGCAAGACCTTCAGCCACGGATCTCCTTAATAGTACTCTTCTTGTTTAGCAATTCATGACTCAGAATCTGAGACCACTAAATTACCCTTTCACTAGTTTAATCTGCAGGTACTAAATGATCTTTATGTACTTTCTTCAAAGTATGATCTTGGCCGTACTTTAGTTATGCATGCTTATAGCTAGCTGAGAATACACCATATCCTCATGTTAGCATTTTGTTGGGACCAGTAAATTTGGACAGCACTGCAACTGTACGAAGATACCTAATGGCACCAACTGGGGCTTAAGTATATGCTAGCACTCTGGAAATTGCACATCTATGAGTTACTTATCCCCTCCCCCTTAATCTGTTTCTTGTGTTTGATATTAGAGATTTAATATCTGCTCCTCTATGAGTGAAAAGTATGTAACTATAGATGTTGATAACTAATTTATTTTTGATTGCAACACTAATTTAACATCTTTTTTAAACTTTTTTTTTAACCTCCAAAGTGTTAGAAATACATGAAGCATTTATTATAGTTAACTATATAATCTGCTAAACCATGCCTTTTATGCTTTGAAGTTTGGATTGGTAAAATGAAGTAAATAACTGCAAAAAAGAAATGAATGTGTTTATAATTCTAGTTATATTCCTGTTCATGATTGGTATGTTATGTTAAATGCCATTTCATTGAATCAGGGAATGACAACAGCAGGAGGTTGCAGATACAGTAAGGCCATTCCTTTAGGTCTTGGAGGGCGCTTGGATACTGATGCTAACTATGGCATCCAGAAAGTTTTGCTTCCACAGGTATAAATATATACCTTGTAATTTGAACACTTGAAATATGTAGATCCCAAGTCCTCTAATGGAGAATTATCAAGTTCTCTAGTATTTGCCAAAGGACCATTATTCTCTTTCTAATATGGTATTCCCTACTTCAGCTGGTGTTGTAATTAATGTGCAATGGACCTCGAATACCTTCTCCTAGGATCATATATGTAGAGGCATATGTTGACGATAACATAAAGGACAAAGATGTTGATGCTTTTGGAAGATGTTTTTACCAGTTAATGTATCAGCTTTGTGTGTAATGAAGGTAGATCCAATCCGATGATACTATGTAATAAACATTTAATTATTTTTTCCCCCTCAAAACCAATGTTTCTTACAGCATCTATCGTTTTTGTTAGCTCAAGAATGAGAGGCTCATACTAGGTAGCTGAGTGTGGTGTTTGTGCATTAGGTTGACAACTTGACATGGTTAGCTCAAAGCTGTCTTATTTCTTGTTAGTTTGATAATTTAGAGTCCTGTGGGAAGTTTTGTGATTACTTGTTAGTTTGATAATTTTAGCTACTTCATAGCATAAGATTTTCCAACTTTTGTCTCCATTTCCATTTCAAAATTCGTTTCCTGCATGATGGTTTTCAGTTTTGACACTTAAGGGACAGATTTGGTTTAATCTTAAGTTAACATATGTTTTAGTTTAAAAGCAAAAAGGTTATAATGAAATGAGTGTCAATGTCCCCATTAAGTTCTTTGGAACCCAATCTACTTGAAAAACAGTATACTTTAATTCCCTCCTCAAACAATCTTTGCCAACAAACTTAAATATTTTGTTCCCTTATGTCAGTGTTAATAGCATAGATGCTCTCAAGCTTTCACCTTTGAGCCCTTGGCGTGCATGGTATGATGATGGGGAGGTAAGTGATCCTAGAATGATTTTTTTTTTTTTGTCTTCTATTTCATATGACTTGGTTTCTCTTCATCAATTTTCTATTTTCTCCCCTTTTTATTGTTTACTTCAGTTTAGTGCATTGATATATAAGTGAAACAGGTTGGAGGGATGGATCCAAGAATATGCTGGACTCACGTTTGTGGCTATAAGGGGTGCAGGGCATGAAGTTCCTTTGCATAAACCAAAACTTGCTCTTGCACTTTTCAAAGCCTTCTTAGCAGGAACCTCTATGCCTACCCTTGAGCTAGTCAGTGCCTCTTGAAATTTACATTCTTTTACATTTGTTTTTTTCCATGGAATCTTCCTCAATAATGTTGTCCCTTATTCCTCAAATTGTACACATCACAGCATATGATCTTTCCAAAGTGCATCTAATTTGAGCTTTTGTACCCTCTTAATATGAAATATTCTTAGTTATGGATAGTGTTACATTTAGTAGTTGAGATTTGATATTAATTTTATTAATATTTTAATTTAATCATACTGCCCATATTGTTATGTTGTCCATTAATTATGTATTTAGTTAAGTGAAATTATTTGCCAATTATGATGCAGCTTTCAAACAAATTTTCTATCTATGGTATGAGAATCTTTTTTTATTGTTTTATTTTTTTCCCTCATGCCATGTATTTACGCCTAACTGATTTTTTTTTTAATTTTTTTTAATCGCGTAAGTCAAACTTGTGCTATTCATTTGTTTATATTCTTTTAATTTTTTTTAATAGAGCATCAAATGTTGGCATCATATGGGTTTTTTATGAAATTGTGAGATGATAGCTGTTGTAACGATCAAAAAAATTCAAAATAAAAATATAAGAGTTTCCATCAATTTTATTTGACTTGATAAAATTAGAAAAATTTTATTTGACAAATTGGTCTTTCAAAAATGTAAATCAAGGTTGAAAAGTTTAATTATGTATATGGAATGGTGAAAATTTGAACCCTTAATATGTTCCTTTAAAAAATAGTTACCTAAATTTATGAGTATTTGCTTTTCTTCTGAAATAAGTGGGAGATATAGAAAGAAGTGGAATTTATAAAATTTGAAATTAATTGCTATTTTTTTTAAAGAAATGAATAGTAAATAAATTTTAGAAAAAAAAATGCAATGATTGAATCTTGAATTTTTTTTATGTTTTTTTTTTTTCAAAAATTGAATGGAAGAATAAGTAAGACAAAACTAATTTAGAAAATTGAATTTTTATTATTGTTTCAAAATAAGACAAATTATTAAAACTTTTGACTAATTAAAAAAGATGAATTGTAAGAAAAAAAATAATTGCAATATGACAAGCATTAATTGCCTTTAATTAAGACCACTTTATATCTAAAGGTAAATTCAATTTTGGAATCGTAAATCATTGAAGTTTTGGTTTAAATAAAACATAATTTGTATTAAAAAAAAAAAGATATCCGTATGATTCAGTTTATTTTCTCAGCATGATTTTGTATAGTTTCACAAATCACTGAAAGTTTTGTTTAAACCTAAAACATGCTTGTTTATAATCTTCTAAAAAAGGCTCAGCCTGCGGTCATATTCTAATTTTGGTGGACATTTCAGTGATAGAGACATAGAATGGGAGTGGGAGCATTTGGTTTTACAATACCGGTATTTTACAATTTTTTTCTTTACAAAATGTATTTTTACTTTTTAAATTCAATTTCAACAGCTACTAAAAAAATAAAAAATAAAAAATAATAAAGAATTGTTAAAAGATTTTGAATAAAACATAAAATCAATTATAAATAGAAAGAAAAAGTAAACATAACATATTAATTTTTTTTTATTAATTGCGTAAGTCAAATTTGTGCTATTCATTTGTTTATATTCTTTTAATTTTTTTTAATAGAGCGTCAAATGTTGGCATCATATGGGTTCGTATTGATAAAAAAAATTCAAAATAAAAATATAAGAGTTGCCATCAATTTTATTTGATTTGATAAAATTAGAAAAAATTTATTTGACAAATTGGTCTTTTAAAAATGTAAATCAAGGTTCAAAAGTCTAATTATGTATATGGAATGGTGAAAATTTGAACCCTTTCTTTTAAAAATAGTAACCTAATTTTTTGAGTATTTGCTTTTCTTCTAAAATAATTGGGAGATATAGAAAGAAGCGAAATTTATAAAAATAAAAATTAATTGCTAGTTTTTTTTTTAAGGAAATGAATAGTAAATAAATTTTAGAAAAAAAAATGCAATGATTGAATCTTGAATTTTTTTTAATTTTTTTTTTCAAAAATTAAATGGAAGAATGAGTAAGACAAAACTAATTGAGAAAATTGAATTTTTATTATTGTTTCAAAATAAAACAAAAAATTATTAAAACGTTTGACTAATTATTTAAAAAAAAGATGAAGTGTAAGAAAAAAAATTATTACATGGAGTTTAAGGTAGCATTGCAATATGACAAACAACCATTAATTGCCTTTAATTAAGACCACTTTATATCTAACGGTAAATTCAATTTTGGAATCGTAAATCATTGAAGTTTTGCTTTAAATAAAACATAATCTGTATTAAAAAGACAAAAAGATATCCATATGATTTGGTTTATTTTCTCAGCATGATTCTGTATACTTTTACAAATCACTGAAACTTTTGTTGAAACTTAGAACATGCTTCCATATAATCTTCTAAAAAAAGATCTAAACAAAGATTAGCCTGTGGTCATATTCTAATTTCGGTGGACATTTCAGTGATAGAGACAGAGAGTGAGAGCGTTTAGTTTTACAATACCGATATTTTACAATTTTTTTCATTATAAAATGTAATTTTACTTTTTAAATTCAATTCCCACAGCTACTAAAAAAATATAATAATAATAATAATAATAAAGAACTCTTAAAAGATTTTGAATAAAACATAAACTCAATTATAAATAGAAAGAAAAGTAAACATAACATATTAAAAAAAGAAAAGAAAAAAAGATAGAGCGGGAAGCCAGCGCCCAGCGGTGGAGGAGGAAGATTATAGCCTTGAGTGAGTCAGTTGGGGCTATTTGAGTGCTTTTGCTTCTCTCAGTCGGTCGAATCGTTTAAACACACACCCTTGTTCTTTATAATAACACAAACCACAGAATACAGACCTTTTTTATCAAGCCCACACACAACCCTAATACAGATCTCTGTCATTGCTTTGTTTCTTTGCCATCAGTTATTTTCTTTGAATGTTTTTGCTGCTTATCTCTCTCTCAGTCACTCGAATCAAACACAAACTACATCTCTCTTTTATTAAACCCAACCCACACTAAATTCTTTCGTTCTTTCTTTATTTCTATGCGCCATCTTTTCTTTTCTTTCTTTCTGTCGTTTCTTTATTTCTCTCTTGTAGTAACTACATCTTTTCTTTCTGTCATCTCTTTTATCAAATTTCTTTTCTTTTATCAAACCCAACCCACACTCAATTCGGTCGAATCAAACACTTGTTATAGCCGTTGAGTCTTTTATTTCTTTCTTTCTGTCTTTCTATCTCTGCGCGATCTGTTCTTTTCTTTGAAATTTGAAACCTTCCAAGTTGATTATCAAGAAGCGTCTTCGTGATAAATACGCTGGTCATCAAGAAAAGCCAAAGAAACGGTTGAAGGTGTTGAAGATGGTTGTTGAGAAATTCTACTATCCAAAGGATAACCCAGAGAAACCAAAGGGAGAAGACGCATTCTTCATCTGTGAGGAACAGCGAACCATGGGTGTGGCTGATGGGGTCGGTGGTTGGGCCAAGAAAGAGATCGATTCCGGTGAATATGCCAGAGAGCTCATGACAGAGGCTGTGAATGCTGTTCATCTTCAATCAGAAAAAGGCTTTGTTGATCCAAGAAAAGTGTTGAACGATGCTTTCTTGAATACCAAAGCTAAAGGTTCGTCCACTGCATCTATTGTTACTCTGAAGGAAGGGGTGTTGCATGGAGTTAATGTGGGTGATAGTGGTTTAATGTTGTTTAGAAATAATAGGTTTTTGTTTCAATCACACTTCCAACAGCACTCTTTCAACGTGCCATTTCAATTGGGGAACAGTAAGATCAGTGACCACCCTGACTCTGCACATGAGTATAAGATTTCGGTAAAGGCAGGGGATATCCTAGTGTTAGGAAGTGATGGACTTTTTGATAACTTGTACGCTGATACTATTGAAGAAATTCTGAGCTGGTAGTTTCACCAAAATCAAGATCCAAGACATCTTCAGCTGTAGAATTATGGGAAATTGCTCGTACCTTAAAATTAGAGGGCATCAATCCTTGTCCAAGGCTATGACAATCAATGGTTTTCTCCCAACTCCAGATAACAAGACTTTCCCTGCTATTTGGATCAACTGCATGACGGCTTGTTATGAGCTCCAATAACAAAACCCCAAATGCGAAAATATCAGTCTTTTCATCCACAAGTCCATGCATAAAGTACTCTGGAGCCAAATATTCGAGTGTTCCTTCTATTGGGAAGACGACATGGTGGGCCCACTTATCTGGAAGCCACTTTGCCAATCTGAAGTCTGAAATCTCAGCTTCATTATTATTGTTGAGTAATATGTTTGAGGCTTTGATGTCTCTGTGAATAGTTTTTCTTGGACAATCATGATGGAGATATTACAATCCTTTTGCTACCCCAATAGCTACCTTGAACCTTATCTACCACTTCAAGCATTCAAAACAAAAGAGCAAAGAGGTAAGGCTTCCATATGGGGCTAATTGTAGAACAAAGTAGAAGTCACGATCAATTCCAAACCCATTAAGACATGTTCATATGTGTGATTTATGTGAGCAATAATCCTATGTTCTGTCAAGAAATCACCAGCTCTGTCCTCAACTTTCTTTTCGTTCTTCATTAGCCTTTTTACTGCTACAACTTGACAATCAGGTAAACGTCCTTTCTAGACTTCAGCATGACCACCTTTTCCAATCATGTTCTGTGTAATATGAAGCACATGCATTCTCTTGGAAGCTTGGAATACTCTTGATCTTGAACTATTTTGCGCCTGCCCAAACACTGAAATTATTTTCCTTCTATGACGAGGGAATGCCCCAAATATAACTCCTTGAACAACTTCTGTTGCAACCATGATTTTGACTTGTTGAGTCTCTTTCTGGCCACAAATGTCGCTCTCATCACTAGCCATAATAGGTTTAGTGTGAGTTGCAGAATCTCCTGTGTGTAGATAACGTAGGTGGCGAGAAGGAATCAGAAAGGTCACCTAACCCATTGGGTAAAATTTCAAATTCTTCCTGATATTCCACCACAGACCCCTTTTGCAACATTTTGGTTAATTAAAAATCCTCGAGCTCTGTTTGTCCAAAACGCTTCTGGAGAACTTGTAGAAATCCTAACCAAGAAGTAATCTTGGTATTTTTGTGGAGTTCATGATACCATGTTAGCGCTTCTCCCTCAAAATAAAAAGGAGCAATACGTAGTCTTTGCACTTCATCTGTTTCATAAGAATCAAAGAATTGATTGACTTAGCCTTGGGAATCAAGAGACCCATCAAACCTTGGTACCTTTATGCGATAATTGGAAGAGGGTGCAACATCCCTATTGTTGGAAGCGTCACTGTTGACAGAGAACGAGGAAAACAATTGCGTTCTCTACAGATGGCCAAGATTGCATCAAACTTGCATGTTATCTCCGAAAATTTGTTGGACACTTGCTCCTTCAGAACTTCCACTTCAGATTAGATTTGCTCCACGCAATCATTCGCAGATTGGATATGTGTTTCAGGTGCCATTATTCAAAGAATGAAAGCACCAATTGATAGGATTTGGACCCTATCTTAAAGAACAGAGGTTGAAGATGAGAGAAAAGTAAGATCGAGATAAGAAATAGAAGAAAGAGATGAGAATGAGAAGTTTATTCTAAACAGAAAATGGATTACAATATTAGACACCCTTTACACAATTCCCTTTCCCCCTATACATCAACTAACAGTAATTTTGTTACAACAAATTCAGATTTATTCTCAACCATTGGATTATTTCCTATCCCTTATCTATAATTTGTCTTTCTTGCCCCTTGCTCATATCAAATGCCCTTTCTTATTGACCCTCGGCTAGGAACAATATTTAGCAAATAATCAAATAGAATACTCAAGTTCTCATGATCATAATCTCATCCTAGATCCTCAAAATACACTTTGATTATTTCAAGGGTCTTTATCCTTAAAACAATAATAATAAACTGTAAATAGAGACAGATAAATAACAAATAAAGTAAATGCTCTAAAATATTATTCATGAAAAAGATTCAACATACATGGCGTCATCTGACTCTCAAATTGTCTCTAGGACACCTATACTAACATGTTTTACCTCACGTCAATGTCTGTAGTTCATATGCCACAGGTTATACTTAATGGCAATCCAAACATTTATTATGAATTTGAGTTAATAATAAATGCTTGACACTTGGTCTTACGTACCATAACCATAAGGATACCATATCAACTCTATGCTAATTTATATTATAATTGAAATCTTGTTATAAACTTGAGTCCTCACTTTTTGATATGATCTTTCTCTACAATAATAAATTAATTTGGAAGGAATTCTCTGTTTCATCTAGGCAGAATTAAGATGCCCCTTTGCAAACCACATCTTTAATAAGATTTTTTTATTATAATATTGTTCTTAGGTTTAAAATGAAAAATGTAGAGAGAAAAAAAAACGGGGAATCAAAATATTGTACCATATTTTTTTTTAAGATATATACTGCACCATAACAAACAAAAATTGTCAACGACCAGCAATTTTTGGCTCCTTAAGAGCATAAGAAAAGAATAAGAAACCAGTTAAATAATAGCACAGAAAGGGAAAACTTACACGCGTTCTTCTCACCAGCTGATTTGACCGGCTAACATTAACATGGCACGAAGGAGTAAAGATACTGTATGGATCTATATTGCCAAGTTCTTTATCAGCAATATTACTAATTTTTTGACATGAATCTGATGGGTGTATTATTGACTGAAAATCACAATGTAGGTTCAAGAGCTTGTATGTTTGATCCGAAATCAAACCATTTGACCACATAAACTGGAAAATCCCCAATTGATCATGGAAATCATCTGTTAAAGCATTTCCTACCTGCAACAAAGATATATTTATTAAATTAATGATGATGTAAAGAACCTTGAGATACACCACCCTAAAAGCTAGCTCTAAGGGTGGGAGTGCCCAAGGTCTTATAAAGGCCTCATTAGTTGCTCATATAATCAATGTGGGACTATATATCTCAATACGCCCCCCCCATTTTCTCTTGTGTGAGGGGGCGTGTTGAGATATATAGTCCAACATTGGTTATATGAGAAACTAATGTGGCCTTTATAAGACATTGGACACTCCCACCCTTAGAGCTAGCTTTTGGAGTGGTGTATCCCAAGGTTCTTTACATGATATCAGAGCTTCAGTGATCATGAGGTCACGAGTTCGATCCTCACTGCCCCCCACTTTCAGGTGGAATTAAGAAAAACACAAAGCAGACCAAAAAAATGGGCTTGTGTAGCATAAGGCAGACCAAAAATGGGCTTGTGCCATATCCACGCTTCAAGCCCAAAGGGCTCTTGCGTGAGGGGGTGTGTTAGAGAATATAATATAAACCATTAAAGAGGCCCTCACCTAACAGCTTCAGCTTTTGGGTTGAATTGGTTCTTTACATGGAATCAGAGTCTCGGTGTACCGGGTTCGATCATCACCGTCCCCCACTTTCTTTCTAGTGGAATTTCTTTCTTTGCACATGTAGGTGGGTCTGTGCATTGTCCACCCTTCAAGCCCAGTGGGCTCTCGTGTGAGGGGACGTGTTAGAGACATATAAAACCATTAATGTAGTCTCACCCACTAGCTTAAGCTTTTGGGTTGAATTGGTTCTTTACATGGTATCAGAGCCTCGCCGTCCCCCACTTTCTCTTGTGGAATTTGTAACATCCCCATCTTGAGCTGGTTTAATTAACATACATATGATACAAACAGAAACAACGTAAGACTTAACTTACGAAAATTCGAGCTAACTTTTTTTTCCTTTTTCATTAATCTTAATTCACATGACATATTATATTGCATACTTCTTCTAATTTAATTCTTATTGGGCGGAGAGGAAAATCGGACAGAGTAACATCTGTAAATTGGACAACTGGGGATTTGCCAATCCCACCCTCAAAGGTTCCTGATAAACAGTTTATACCATATATAATTTCAGAAATACCAGATATCTATAAAGGACTATATACCCATCCATGCGTGTATGCATAACTGGCTCCGTGCCACTATGTCTAACCACATACATATTTCAGCACATGCACATATCTGAATACACAAATGTACATGCATCAAATATGAACACATGTACAAAACATATACGGACCATATATTGTATAATGAATCAAACATCATGATCTCAAAATGAATAGAACACTATACAATAGTACATATTCTCCAAAAATAACATCTATAATAAATAGTAGCGTCCGGCCACCCAGAACTCCATATCATCATACTAGTACCTCTAGCCATTGGTAGTGTCCTTGTCCCATGAGGGCCCTTCAATTAACTGTTTTCCTGAAATCATATCCCCAAATGGGGTTAGAGACGAATCTCTAGTAAGCTCCAGGTTTATGGAAAACTCTCCATACCCTGGGCTCACTTCATGAATGACAATCAGATATATAATATACAAAACATCATGTAAGCAAATATCATAACTGAACAACCATATACACATATCTTATCAAAGATGCACACAGTATTTCCCAAGAGAGAACCCCAAGCGAAAATCAACGCACGTAACAAATATCATAACTAAACTGAGCATATATACATATCTTATCAGAGACATACGCAGTCATTCCTAAGGGATGACCCCAAGCGGAAATAAATGTACGTGTTCCCAAGGGAGAACCCCAAGCGGAACCAGAACATATCAGAGGTGTACACCATCAGTCCCGAGGGATGACCCCAAGCAGGCATCAGTGCACATAGGATCAATGGCCAGAGATCATCACATAACAGAGGTGTACACAGTCAATCCCAAGGGAGGACCCCAAGCAGAAATCAGTGCACATCTTCCCAAGGGAAGACCCCAAACGGAACTCAACATATAACAGATATATACACAGTCAGTCCCAAGGGAGGACGCCAAACGGACATCAGTGCATAAACAAATCAATGTTCAGAAATCATTACAGAAATCATATCGAAACATATCAAAGTAAACACATCAAAAGATATCAAAGTAAACACATTAAAACATATCAAATTAAACACATCAAAACATATCAAATTTAACACATCAAAACATATCATATCACATCATCATATAGCTCTATATAAATGCATCTATATCATATATCTCATACATATCATACAACCTGACCACAGCCCGTACACTATGGCGGAGCACAGAGTAGGAGCGAACCCCATAAACATAGAGCTTACCTCTTGGAGCTTTACAATTTGCTTACTTGAAGAACAAGCTAGTTATCTTGCTCCACGAGAATCCAAACGTTCACAATCCCTAGGCACACCTAGAGAAGGAATTCAACACAAAACTCAATAAAATGATATAATGCCATGTAAATATACAAGACACATACTTTATTATTTATTTTCTTTTTACTTAATCATATTAAGTCATGAGTGGGTGGTTCTTTGTTCAACAAATCCCCACCAAATTCCACATATTCACTTAATCTTAGGATAGTCCCAAAAGACCTTTAGAACACTCATTACTTGTCTTAGCACCTAAAAGCCTATTTTTCCTAATTTAAGGCAGAGTGCCCTTTACAAAGGAGCTATAAGATTTCTTTTTGTCTAGTCCTAAACCCAAGCTTAGCCACCTATAAAAATTATTTTACGCATAAAAGTGTTCTCGCTTGGCGAAACAGTAACTCCAAATGTATACCTCTTTTGAAAATGGCCAAAACTCATTTTAAGGCCATACAAAGGAGCTACCTTAGTTTCTTTTTTATTTCACCAACGCGAAAGTTCATACACCTTAGAATATTATTCCACGCATAAAAATATGCTCTCTTTGCAAAACAATAACTCCTAGCACATACCTCCTCTGGAAATGGCTATAATCACTTATAAGGCCTAAAGGAGGAACTTACTTATTTTTCTTTTTATCTAACCCAACCAAAGGTTTATACATCTAATTATATAGTCCTTAGGCCGTATAAGTACTCATTCGCACAAACAAGCACTCTAAAAACATACTTCATTTGTAAACGGCTAAGAGGCACATAAAGAAAATCATGCCAATTTCATGATTCCATTGTTTTAGTCTATCAAATTCAAGCTTATCATACAACCATAATCATCATTAGGTAATAAAATCCATTTTACACATTAATTCATCCATTTATGCCTCAAAACATAAGACACCACTAAGCGTCATTCAATTAAATCACTCAATTCAAAACTTATATATACATATAAACCTTCACAACGTGTCCAATTATTTTTGAACATTAAACCCTAATTTTTACACCATGGCTGAACTTAGTGGGAGGAGGTGCAAGGGACTTTTTCAAAATTTCAACACATATTCATACTCATTTCACAGTATAACATCATAAACCATACTAACTCATCATCAATTTCAAATTCCAAGCTATAAAATTTTCCATAACATATGCTCATAATATTCCAAACTTAAATCATATAAATAAAACCATTAAAATGAGGATTTCTTACCTCAAATCGTTTATCCAAGGAACAAAACCCAAGAAAAGCTCACTCAAAATCCACACTTTTGCACTTGGATGAATAGTGCCACGAATTTGAGAGAAGGAAGAACTCTTCACGCAAGCCTTTTCAGCCTAAACAAAGTAGTTGGATGGATTCCCCATGATCTCTACTTAAACTTTCATGTATGGCACTTTTTGTTTTGGTGGCTGAAAGTTCGAAATGGCCTTGAAGGCCGATGCATGCAAGAGGGAAAAACAAAATTTTTCTTTGCGGAATATACATGCACATCAAGATCATGCTTTAGGAAAGCATGATGTTACTTTGTTCGTGAAATCACCAGATGATCAAGGCAGGTCTGAAGGGTTCAGACCTTCTAACGTTGATCCACACCACCCACTCGTCTAGGTGCAAGAACTCTAATGAAGATGGAGGCTAGGTGAAAGTGTTTGAAAGAGTGAAGCTCTCAATGTGAAAGCTTCACAAGTGGCGCAGGAGAGAAGAGAGAATAGGCTAGGCTTTTCAGAAAAAACCCTTGGAGGAACAACTAACCACTTAGGCGCATAAGAGGAGAGTATTTAAAATAAAATACCATTCAAATTTTTCTCTTGAGAATTGGTTCAAAACCTATTCAAAATTCTGATCAGAAATCTTCATAAGATCAGCTATATGGTGCGCCCCATATAGCCCAAAAAGGTGACCAGATACATCTGAGTAGTTGCATTCAAATTTGAATCAACTCACTCAGATTTTCTCCCAACTGACTGAATCTTCTGGAGCTGATTTTGATGAGCAAATCTTGCTCACCAACAGCCCAAATCAGCGCCATATATAGCCTAGGATTATGTCCAAAATCTACTTGGATCTTGTCCAAAAGATTCTCTCATGATACTAGTGATTTGTTCCAACAAGATCTCATCTTATCCTTTTGTTATGAAACAACCTTTCATAGGTAATTCAAATTCAAAAATTTGAATTCAAACATTCAAATATTCAAATTCAAATGTTCAAACATTCAAATTCAAATTCAAAATTCAAATTTCAAATATCAAAATTCAAAATTCAAATTTCAAATTCAAAATTCGAATTTCGAAATTCAAATTCAAAATTCAAAATTTCAAAATTCAAATTTCGAATTCCAAAATTCAAAATTTAAATGTTTGATAATTAATTTAACTAATTAAATTAATTAGTAATGTCTTGGACTATCCAAGCCCATTACAATGATCCATGCGCCCTCCACCCCTTTAGGTGGAGTTCCAAACAACTTCTTGGGCTAATAACTATTATTAGGCCCAATACCTTTAATGCTAGAGCATCTAGACAATTAGGTGTTTGTGTGTGACCCATTAGGTCCAACTTAGCCACTGACATAAATGGGCTTGGGCCCAATAAGCCCACAACCC